CGGCGGCGAGAAGTTTTGGACGCTTGCCGAGAGGTGCGTCGATCGGTTTGCGGCTGCATTCGTTCAAGAAGGACGTCGACTACGACCCGTTCGTGCTCGCAGCCACGCAGGTGGCTTGGATGTGGAGCTCGGCCGTCTGGGAGGCGACTCCCAAGCCTCGCATCTTGGACGTCGTCATGCGAGACGCTCTAGTGAAGTGCACCCCACCGTCGGCGACATGGCGGCTGGTCACCACTCCGGCAGACGTGGCGGTCATGACCCTGAAGAGGATAGGTTGGGTCTTCGAGAGCAGCACCGTCGTCCGCGACACCGGCGCCGACGGGGCCACCTACGACCTGCAGAAGCTGCCGCCGAACCAGGTGAAGCGGTTGGTGGCCCGGGCCTCCGCCAGTGCTTCCGACATGCAGGCGTTGAGCAGAACGCGAGGCACCTGGAGGGGGGGAGAGGGCGTGCCAGACGTTCTGGACGAAGCGCCGGTTGCCCCAGTGTTCTGGGCACCCCTCCGACGGCTGTTCAGTAAAACGTCGGAGGTTTGGGATCTGCGACATCTTCGTGCCCTGCGTTCGGCTGTGAGCCACACCCTGTGGGGACAAGCACGGCTAGCTGCGCATGGACTGGTGACTTCCGACGTCTGTCAGGCTTGCGGGGGCGCTGAGGGCGCCCTCTGGCATCGGTGTTTCGAATGTCCCGCCTACGAGCCCTTCCGTCGACAGTACCTCTCACCAGAGGCCAAATGCCGAGCCCAGACAGTGCGCACCTGGAGCAAGGCAGCGGGGGAGAGGCTGGCAAGGGGGATCCTGCCGGACCCGTCCGCGCTCTTCAGCTTCCCGGACGTGCCTTTCGAGATGCACTGGATCAACCGACCCAGCGACGGCCTCCTGCGAGAGCGCATCTTCAGCGACGGCTCCGCACTCTTCCCAGCCATCCCGTGCCTGTCCAGAGCGGGGTGGTCGTTAGTCCAGGTGGACAAGCTCGGCAACCTGGTCGCGGCGGTTTACGGGGTCGTCCCGCGAAGTGAGGCGCCATCTCAGACAGCGCGGGACGGCGAGGATTTTGCCGTGAGCATGGTCCTCCCGCTGGTCGCCATGGCCCCCATCGACTTGTACGTCGACTGCGCGGGCACCATCGGCGTCGTGAGTGGCGGCCCAGGGACGGGCACGCGGTCCACAGACGACCGTCCACACTTGTGGGGCAAATTTTGGGGGGCGTTCATGCCGAGTGACATCACTATCCACAAGACCTTGGCTCATGCGACGCAGGCCGACGTGGACGGAGGCCAGACTACCCCCATGGAGAAACGAGCGAACGGCAAGGCCGACGAGCTCGCCAAAGCGGGGGCAGCATTGCATGGCGTCACGGCCGCTGCTGCTCACCTCTGGGCCGGCCTGGCGGACATCGCGGTCGAGGTGGGCCGTTGGGCGGGTCAACTGCACAGCCATGTCGCCGACCAGGGACCGCCAGACCGGGAGGACGTCTTGGGCAAGCATGCCGAGGAGGGATGCGCGGATGCGAATGCTGGGGGAGCAGCGGATGCTGGCGTGAGCCTTTCAGCCAGTGATGCCGCAGAGGCGCGGCCTCACCGCTCCCATCCTCGTCCTCCTCCTCCTCCTCCTCCTCCTCCTCCTTTCGAGCTCTAAGTTGAGTGGGCCCCAGCGTGGCGGGACTATGAGCCTGTCGCGTTTCGGGCCCGGGGCCATGCTTTGCTGAGTGCCGACATTCAGGGGAAAAGCGGAATGCGGCTTATTTTTTGTTACCGTTGTGGGGCCTATTTTGGGGGCCGGTCCCCAGGCAAATGCATGCTTTCAGATTGCAAGGGCTCGCGGAGCGGCCCGAAGCTGCGCGAGCAGTTGTCTAAGCTGACGGCGGGTGACCATCCCCATTATCGCAAGACCACGCGGGGGCTGAGACTAGCGCCGCCGGATGGCGTGCCTATGGACGAGCGCCTCCGTTTGCAAGCCGTCTTTTCGACTGCCGCCTCTCCAGCGCCAACCTGTGCCCGCGCTGGCGAAGAACGCCCAGCGGCGCCAGCGCTGTCCCAGCGGAAGGTCGTGCTCCGCTCTTTCGGCATAGCTGAATCCGACCTGCCTGCGGTGCGCGTGCGCGGCCTGAGGGTGACCGCCAGGGCCCGTGCAGCAAGCGACTCCGGCTTCTCATCGGAAAGCGATGTGGAAGACTGGGAGTGGTAGTGCTTCTAGCGGCGTGCCGCTGCCTTTTAGGCCGTTCCCAACCCAACCTCCTGCTCCTCCTCCTCCTCCTCCTCCTCCTCCTCCTCCTCCTCCTCCTCCTCCTCCTCCTCCTCCTCCTCCTCACTCTTCCTCCTCTCCTCCTCCTCCTCTCCTCCTCCCTTCCGGGCCCTCTTACTCACCTCCTCGATCCTATCTCCTCCTCCCTCCTCCTCTCCTCCTCCTCCTCCTCCTCCTCCTCCTCCGCCTCCTCCTCTACTCGCCTCCTTCCTTCTCCGTGCTCCTCCTTGTCCGCCCCCTCCTCCTCCTCCTCCTCTCCTTCTCCCCTCCTCCTCCTCCTGCCTCCTCCCCTCCTCCTCCTCCTCCTCCTCCTCCTCCACTTCCCTCCTGAGAGAGCACAAGGCAGCACCATTCCTCGCCCCCCCCCCCCGCGTATAGAGGCATCCTAGACATGGGTTCCGAGCAGATGGGGTCGAAGGATCGCGCCGCATCGCGAATGCGTCGCCGATGTGTCGGCGATGCATCGGCGATGCATCGGCGAGGGTAAGCACGGGCTCCTCAGCGAGCCGCATGGTCGATATATCGGCGATGCGGCGCGATCCTCCGACCCCATCCACTCGGACCACATTTAGGAGGCCTGGACAATCGCCCCCCAATTATTGAGCAAGGGCCGACCGTCCAGGCATTCCTGTAGGCCTACCACAACAAGCTCTTAAAACTAGCACATTTTCTGATCACAGAAACAATGTCCTTAGAACCTGAACCCGATGTGTTACGACACGACAGTCTCATCCGGAAAAGGTTCTGAGGACATGCCGCCCAGCCCACAGAAGGTTCTTGGGACATTCCTTGGTGGGCGTTTTAGGCGAGCCAGGACGCTTCGCCACTGCACTGCTCGAAATTACGCGACGCCCTCGGGGAGCAAGAGCACGGCCGCCTCCGGCACGACGCCGGCCTGGCGGGGGAAGCCGCAGGCCGCCGCCAGCCGCTCCTGGGGAGAGCGGTGCCCGCGCAGAACGCGCTCGGCGATCGCAGCGCGGGCGGCGGCGGCGCAGCTGCCCGCGGGGGGGGGGGTCGCCGTCCACGCGGAGGACGACCAGGACATGCTCGCGGCGTGAAACCACCTGGACGACCGTGTTGGAGCTTCTCGAGCGGTGCTCGCTATCGAGAGCGATTAAGGATGGGGCGAAGAGGCAAGGATGCAAGGGTACCAGTGGGAAGGTTACCCACCCTTACCATAGATTTCGACTTCAGAGTTAGGTCGGGCACGTCCTGCTACAGGCGGATTTTGGAGGCCAGAAAAATAGTCCAGAAGTGCCCAAAAATAGCAAAACATAGTTCAAAGCATCGTCCCCAGACTATTTGTTGGTAATATGTTTGAATACTCCTCCTGTAGAGGGACACGCCCGACTTAGCTTCAGAAGCCCTCTGTGCTTCTCACAAGGCCGCCCCCTCTCGCGCGGGCGCCCCCCCCCCCCCCCTGTGCGGGGGGAACCCAACAATACCGCTGCCGACGCTCACTGGACCTCCTCTGGGGGGAATGCGCTCTGACCAGCACGTTGAGGCGAATCCGGCCGTGGCGACGAGGAACGCGTTGCGGCGCCGGTAGATTCTCCTTCTCTGACCTTGACTCCCAGGACCTCCTGGGGTGCGTTCTGTCGAGGCGAATGCGGCCGTGGCGACGAGGAGCGCGTTGCGGCATCGGCAGGTGTTCCTTCTCTGACCTTCTAAGCGCCACAAATAGAACAAGAAAAAACGACACAGACATAAACTTGTGGCGCTGCGCGCGGGTTTCTTGGATCTGCGCTGGACCCCCCTCCCGGCGCGCGGGGGCAGCAGCAGGAAGAGAAGGAGAGAGGGATAAGGGAAAGGAGCAAGGGAGGAAGGCAGGAGGGAGGAGGGAGGAGGGAGGAGGGAGGAAGGGAGGAGGGATGCAGGAGGAGAAAGGGAGGGCGGGAGGAGGGAGGAGGGAGGGAGGAGGGAGGAGGCAGGAGGGAGGGAGGGATGGAGGAAGGAGGATCTCTGGGGTGGCCTGGCGATGGGGCCTCTCCTCCTTCACATCCTCATCCGTCCTCATCCTCCTCCTCCTCACCCCTACTCCTCCTGTCCTCCCTCGTCTCCATCACTCCTCCTCCTCCTCCTCCTCCCTCTCCTCCTCCTCCTCCTCCTCCTCCTCCTCCTCCTCCTCCACATCACTCCCTCCCTCCCTCCTCCTCCTTCTCTCATCCCTCCCTCTATCCATCCTGTCCTCCTACATTCCCTCCCTCCCTCCCTCATTCCTCCTCCCCTCTCATAGACGTGCAGCTATACATGATGGTTCAGTCCACGCCGCCTACCTTTCGGGGCGTCTCTTTGGCCAGCTGCGGCCCCACGCCGACGAGGCCCATTCCCTGTCTCTCATCCTCCTCTCCTCTCTACTCTTCCAAGCTACCCCCTCCTCCTCCTCCTCCTCCTCCTCCTCTCTCCTCCTCCTCCTCCTCCTCCTCCTCCTCCCCTCTCCTCCTCTCCTCTCTCTCATCCTCCTCCTCCTCCTCCTCGTCCTCGTCCTCCTCCTCCTCCTCTTCCTCCTCCTCCTCCTCCTCCTCCTCCTCCTCCTCCCTTTTCCCTCCCTCTTCCGTCATCCCCTCCCTCCTCCCAGCTCCCTCCGTAGCCATGTTGGCTCAAGATGCTTTTCGCTGTGCGAGGAAACGTTGCAGCCAACTTCTGGGCGTGCTGCGCCCCCTGACATGAATACCTTTCACCCCGCGCTCGGCGCGCGCCGGTCGGTGCCTTGGGGCTGCCGCCGCCGCATCATCGCTCGGAGCAGAGCAAGCTGCAATGGTTTTGCAAGAGTTGCGTGGGCCCAGCACGATACCCGTGGTGGAACCACGCCGACTCGAGGGCGTGCGCCAGGTGCAAGCTAGGCAAGGGGCTGGTCTTCAGGGGGTACTGGTCTTCCTCAAGCAGCAGAGCGACCTCGGCAAGTTCGGCTACTGGGGGGATTGCGTCCAAGTCGCTAGCTCAAAGCCGAGCTGGCCAAGGCCAACAAGAAATTGGCTGCCCAGGCGCGAGGGGGCGAGGACGTCCCCATGGAGCCCGCCGAGGTTGGGGATGCCACCGACGCCGCCGCCAAGAATCGGCTGCAGGAGGTGGACGAACTCATCCAGCGGCTCAAGGGCATCGAGGAGCCTGCCGTGGTCGAGACGCGCACAACGTTGTTGGCGGAGCAGGCCGAGCTCAGGGCCGAGGTGGCGGCGTCACGACCTCTTGGGCAGCGCCTGCGGGAGCTGGGCGCGCAGTTCACGAAGCAGCAGAAGTTGCGAGATGGCCAGCAACGCCGGCTCGACGGTTTGCAGGCGCAGATCCGAGAGCTGCAGGAAAAGGAGCGTGCCACCCTGGACAAGCTGGCGGCCTTGGATGCCAGCATGGAGGAGCTTGGCCTGGAGAGGAAGAAGCTGCAGGGTCAAGTGCCGACCCCTGACGAGCGGCCCGCCGTGGACGAGCCGATCAAAGGGGTCAATGCCACGCTGGAGGGGCGCCTTCCTCGAGGCGTGCTCTTCCAAAGCCTCGGGGCAGAACGCCAGCTGGCAGGGCGCCTCACCGCCAGCCTCGAGGAGCTGCGGCAGCTGGATGGGCAGGAGAAGGAGAAGAAAGCGGCCGAGAAGGAGCGTGAGGCGGCCGAGAAGCAAGCCGAGGACGCACCGGGCGCCGCGGATGCACAGGTGCCTCCAACATCCCAACATCGCCTGCTGGAGATCCCGTCGAGCAGGATCCCGAGTTCCTGGCCGAGGTGGTCGCCGCGGGCGGCGAGAAACACGAGCTGGAGGAGATCTTCACACGATGGGGAGCTCAGCTCAAGAAGCCCCCCGGTTTGGTTAAGCGTACTTCTGTTGGGGTGTTACTCTTCCATGACATCACGACGTCTGTCGCAGGAATCACTACAGTCACGGAGTTCTTGCCACTCTCGGATTTCGGGAGGCCTCACGGACTTGCCACTCGGAGTTCTTGCCATCACGGAGTTCTTGCGTCGTCGGGAGGCACGCTCACGGACTTCTTGCCTAATTACCCGTTCCAGCATCTGTACTGCGGCACAGGAGCACGACGCTCGGGTGGAGGGTGGAGGCCTAGCGCGCCGGCAGGCGGACGCGCGGGAGGCAGGCTTCCACGGCATTTGGGAGCCCGCGCTGCGAGGACAGGGTGCAGGCAGCAAAGGCGGCGTCGCCGTCCTTACTCCCACCCGGGTGGTCGTCACGCGGCGGCACTGGGCCTGGATGGCCACACGCTCGAGGACGGGAGGAGGATGGCTGCGCACGTCCACAGCGGAGTGCCAGGCGGACTCGTTACGTTGTCGGTCTACTCGCGTGTGGACGAGCAGCTGTCGCCTGAGAACTTGGCGATGCTCTACAAGCTGTGCCAGTGCGCGAGGTCCCTGGAGGCGATGAGCGTGCCGTGGATCGTCGGCGGCGATTTCAACATGGAGGTCAGCGAGCTTGGGCCGCTAGGCTGGCTCCACTCGGCCAACGGCGTGGTGGTGGCACCATCGGCGCCCACCTGCTTGCAATGCCTCCCTGGCCGCACCATTGACATGTTCATGGCGTCCTGCAGGCTTGTCCCTCGGCTTGGACAACCGCGGGGCATTCGCAAGCCACAGGCGCCAGGTTGTGCTCGACCTCAGCCTGACTGGGACCCTGTGGTCGCGGTCAGTCAGCAGGCGCAGAGCGCAGACGACATCACGTTTGCCTGGGACCTGGTGCTCAGCGGGGTCGAGTTTGAGATCCAGGGTCGCTACGACACTGTGCAGGATGCCGCTGTGGCGTACACCACGGTGCCTGGCCAACCTGCTTTCAAGTTGGTCACGTTCGAGCCTGTGACGGAAGGCTCGTGGCGGCATCGCTCGTCCGAGACACGGGCATGGGGGCAAGCAGCTCGGTGTTGAGCAGGGACCGACCGTCCCAGAATTCCTATAGTCCTACCACGAAATGTTCTTAGAACCCAAACATGTTTTAATAACATAACCAATGTTCTTAGAACATAAACCCGATGTGCTAAAACAAGACAATATCAACCATACATGTTCTGAGAACCACTTCGTGGGAGCCACAAAAGGTTCTTAGAACATTGCTTGGTGGGGCTATAGGCGAGCCGGGACGCTTCGCCACTGCTTGCGGCATGGGGGCAAGCAGCTCGGTGGGCAAGACTGAAGGGGCCCTGGGACACACAAACAAATATACAAAAACGGTTCCCCATAGTTTCCCATATTCTCTAGGTTTTTGTCGCCCCCCCCAAACTCCCCAGATTTTCCCATCTTCCTGGGGGTCGACGATTAATTCCCTCCTGAAAGACATGCTCGCCGGGATCGCACGGCACGGCAGGGCTTCGTCGTGAGGCCGAGCCCGCAGGCGGGCGACGACGGCGCGGGAGCATGGCAGGCCAAAGCGTTGCAGCGCGGACATCCGGCA